GAACAGCTATCTCACTCAATTTTTGGAGTTAGAAGCTTGCACTGATACTTAGAGATGCGGCTAGATGTACTCTATCGATTGATGTATAAGACCTCTTGCTTGCAACGTCTGTGTCGCGACTTATCTTGATTGCCGTTCGATGGCTTCTGTTCGTTGTGATGTGACGGATCGAAATCTCGCGCGATGACGTAATCCGCTTCAACTCCTTGAATAAGAGCCGGATTTCCTTGCTCTCAGCACGTAACTGGTGTGTCTTCTTGTTCTCTTCAACGTGTTATGCTTGGATTGCTGTAGTTCCGGCCGAAACTTACAGTTGATCTTCCGTGACGTCAAATGGGAATGAATGAAGATGGGAATCTTCCCGCGCACCTTTTTCCTGTTAGAGGCTTTTCGATGCTCTGATAGTGTGGCTAGAGGCTGATTCTTAGCACCTCTTCTCTGTTGCAGGTGTTAACTCAATACACTTTGACTCAATACACCTTGACTTGGTATCAACTTGACTTACTGTCTCGAGACGGTTGACTCTTCGAACTCGAGAAGGGCTTTTGCTTTTCAGTGTTGTTGCTAGTAATACTGCAGCTTATTGGGGAGTAATTTGGTTTTAGATTAAGCTGAAAGCAAAAGTGAGGATTTTCTGGTTGTGCATAGCAATTTTTGTGATTGAATTGGATATAAAAGGACCCCCGCAACACTATAGACCTAAAACTCCCTCTGTTCCTTGCATGATGAATTACCATGCGAACCGGACTAGATGTTTAATACACGAGTTAATAGTAAAGAGGTGTCAGGTTTGTTTCCTCCAAATATGGTGGCCTGCGGCTACAATCAGGTACCCGGAATTGAATTTGACAACATCTACAGTCCAGTGGCTAACGACATCACCTCCCGCATCATCTTGATTCTAATACTAAAGAAGAAGGGAAGAGCGAAAGCAATTATCATCGATATTGAGACAGCATTCCTACATGGAGACATGGACGAAGTCATCTACATGGACTGCCCAAAAGGACTAGAACACCAAGACAACGAATGTGTCATACTGGACAAGACCATCTATGGCGCTTGCCAGAGCGCACGACAGTACTACTTGAAGTCTGCGAGTGTCCTGGAAGACTAAGGATCTTACGTGTCCTAGTGAGCATGCCTCTTCAAGCGGAACAAGAATGGGAAGATATGTGTGATTCTATGTTACGTGATGACAATCTCACCATTAGAGAAGAAGACGATATCAATGAAGTGCTTCAAGGGATTAAAAATCGAGGCTTGAACATGAACATAGAGTACGAACTCACGGACTACCTGAGCTATGAGATTCGGATGAATCCCCGAAAGGATGCTGCATGGGTGGGGCAACCCCACATGATTAAGAAAATTCAAACCACATTCGGAAAGGAGGTACAGAAGCTACCCAAGTACAAGAATGCGGGAACACCTGGACTTGGAATAGTGAAGACAGACGAACAAAGCGAATGGATCGCTGAAGAACAACAAAGCAGATATCGAACAGGAGTATGTATGCTCATGTACCTTAGCAAGCATTCAAGGCCAGAAATCTCAAACGCGGTACGAGAGCTATCTAAGGTCTTGGGATGCGCAACGCCAGCAGCGTACAAGAAAATGCTACGCTGTGTAAAGTACGTGTTGACTCAAGGAACCGTGGAATTTTGATGGACCAGAGTAGAACGAAGGACCGTGGAGATTGGAAGTATTCTCGGATTCGGATTTGGCCGGAGACAAGAACAACAGAAGATCGGTAACGTCCATGATGATCTTTCTCGAAGGTGTACTCATTCACTGGAGGTCCAAGCTACAGAAGGTCGTAGCATTGTCGAGTTCCGAAGCTGATTTCTACGCGTGTGGCGAACCAGTACGAGAAGTCCCGTTCATCGCGCAGTTTCTGAAGTTCCTACAGATCAACGTGGAACTACCTGTGCACGTGAAGATCGATAACGTAGTTGCTATCTTTATGTCAGAGAACAAGACAAGTACAAGTCGAACAAGGCATATGGATACGAGGTGGCACTACGTGAACCAAATGCAGCAGGAGGGCCTAGTGAAGATTGATTTCGTTCGCTCGGAATACAACGTGAGCGACATTGTAACCAAGAATGTCAACGTCAAGTCGTGACCCTCGACAGACATGCCCGAAACTGACAGGAGAAAGGAGCAATTGGTTTGAGTTGGTAAGAAGGTCGCTGCATCATCGCGAAAACAGGAAGGGTGTTAGAAAGGTATTTTCGTATGAGGACAGACGACTCGGGATCCACAATCACGGTCGTGATTGGGGATGTGTGACTCAATCAGAGGTTATCCGATCATCATTAGATGGCCGGTGTACGAGGAACGAGGACAGGTCGTCTAGATGATGCAACTACAAAGGTTAGGAAGTTAGGTCGAAGAGATGAATGCAAGGAGCGACGGGATGGAACAAATGAATGGACGGATGAAGGTCCATAGGTTTAGTAAAGTGGGAAACCCTCCAGGGCAACCATCACTTCAGGAAGATAGTGACGAGATCAATCTGCAGATGAAACTGCGAGAAACAGAGGATCGAAAGATCCTGGTATATGTATGCATATCGGAGCTCAGTTGTAGAGCTCACATCTGAACGAGAGAGAAAGAGAAAACGAAAAATAGCAGTCTACTAGACAGTAGAGCTGGAAGGATATTGATTAAATTAGAGAGAGATATTGAGTGCGTCAACAGTTCAGTTCAAGTTCACACCTTTTCAACAGACGATTTTCGGCTGTTCGGTCATTAGGGATAGATTTAGACCGCGTGCATCTTTCTTGATGGGCGTTTGTGATTCGTACGTCCGCACAAGGGTCCTCTTGATGGAAAATCTTGAGTCATGACATGAGTTTTGAGATTTGACTCAAGAGAAGGCTCAAGTGGGCTTCAAGTCACCCATCCTCTTCCGGACAGAGCCAATATTGTTGTAGGTGTCTGCCACGTCAGGATGATTCTTGCGCAATGCTGACAATTGAATGACAAGAGCTTTCTCATACTTTGCCAAAGCACCTTTGTAGTCACCCATATCATCCAGAACAGAGCCAATATTGTTGCAGGTATTTGCCACATAAGGATGATTCTTGCCCAATGCTGACGATCGAATGGCAAGAGCTTCCTCGTGCTTTGTCAAAGCACCTTCATAGTCACCCATTTTCTGCAGAACAAGCCCAATATTCCTGAAAATGGTTGCCATATCAGGATGATGCTTGTCCAATGCGGACAGTTGAATGGCCAGAGCTAACTCATACTTTGCCAAAGTACCTTCAAAGTCACCCATTTTATGAAGCACAAGCCCAATGTTGTTGTATGTGGTTGCAACAGAGGGATGATTCTTGCCCAATGCTGACAAGTTGATGGCAAGACATTCCCTATGCTTTGACAAAGCACCTTCATAGTCACCCATATCATCCAGAACAGAATCAATGTTGTTGTAGGTGTTTGCCACATCATGATGGTTCTTTCCCAATACAGACAATTGAATAGCAAGGCATTCCTTGTACTTTTCCAAAGCACTTTCATAGTTACCCATATCTTTCAGGGAAAGCCCAATATTGTTGTAGGTGGATGCCACTGAGGGATGATTCTTGCCCAATGCTGACAATTGAATGGCAAGACATGCCTTGTAGTTTGACAATGCATCTTCATAGTCACCCATCTCATTCAAAACAACACCGATATTGTTGTAGGTGAAAGCCAGATCAGGATGATTGTTGCGCAATGCTGATACTTCAATAGAAAGACAATCTTTGTACTTTGACAAAGCACCTTCATAGTCACCCATACTATAAAGGACAGTACCAATGTTGCTGTGGGCGGTTGCCACATCGGGATGATGCTTGCCAAGTACTGACAAATAAATGGCAAGAGCTTCCTTGTGCTTTGCCAAAGCACCATCATAAGCACCCATATCATCCAGGACAAGCCCAAGATTGCTGTAACTGTCTCCTGTTTTTTCATGATTCTCACCCAACACAGTCTCACAAATTCTCAGAGCAGTCTGGTGGAGTTTCATGGCTGCACTGTGTTCTCCATTTGTTCTTAAGACACCCCCAATTTGGTTGCAGAACTCAACATAGTCCTCATTGTATGTGTTTTCTCTGGTCTCCACCAACTGAGTCAGGACACCATGCATCCATCCACGCAACAAGTCATTGACTAGATTGTTGAGTACAGAGTATCCAACATCTGATTCTACTTGACCAAGAATAGCCAGCCTGTCACTCTCGACTGATGCAATGGCATTTTCAACTTTTGTGTTGCCAAGTGTCTCGTAGAGAGCATTGATGCCTCCTTCATTATCAACAACATCCTGCTCTAGAGATTGCTTCTCCCTTGGTGGCATGACAATATCCACCTTGCAACCACCCATCCTGTGAGCCGTAAAGATCTCGAAAATACACCAGACACGAGTGATGTACACTGGTGCTTTCCATGGAGCCATCATGGCCAACAAGTGTCCAATCTTTTTGACTCGTTCTCCAAAGATGTCAAAGAAGTCCATCTTGACAGGGGCTATCATTCCTGATTTCTGCTGAGTTGTATTTTCTACAACTCTGTGTTGATTCACACATAGACAGCACATCCAGATATAGGTTCTCATTGGATTGAGGTTGTTTTGGTGGCAGAAGTCATTCAGAGTATCCACAATATCTCCAATCGAATAATTCCACGAATAGCTGAGCATGTAATTTGCCTCTCCGACATGGTCCTCTCCTTGTAGAGTGTGTACATAGGCAGCACCAATTTTTCCATCTATTGGACAAACGATGTTGGCTCCCTTGGTTCGAATGACCCCAGGAGGTCCTTTTAGGTTTTCAATATCATAAATTTTGGAAGATCTATTGAGACGAGACCAACAACAGCCATCTGAACATGCAGCTTCCTTTAGAAATACATGCTCTAAATGAAATACGCTGACACCAAGAGTGTCCAACTGGTTTTGATTGTGCGTTGCTGTTTTGGTACTACTGGTGGCAGAACCATAATCAGTTTCAATCTGCTCAGTTGCCAATGGCGGAAGCAGCTGAGACGACTCGGTAGCGATATCATCACTCATGATGGGCTCTATTATTGTATCGTGTCCTTTACTATACCAACGCTGTCTGAATTCGTTGCTGGGGCTTTTCTTGCTTTTTGGTTGACCTCTCTTGGACGTCTCTGCGGGTATTGTATCCAGCGTCGAGGCAGCATTTATTTGGGATCATGGCAGCTGCCTCGAAGCTTCATTCGGTTCATCCACAGTAAAAACAGCCCGCTCTGCTGCTTTGTGAGAACCGAGCGTCATTCATGACACGTATGGTTAGGCCATTCTTAGTACGCAATGTGTGTAGGTTGGACCAAATAAATGATCTACTAGGTTCTTTACTTATTTATTATCGCTGTTTCATTCCCCAGCATCAACCATTTCAAGACAAATAAATGACTGACACTTGCAATGGCATGATAATGGGACGACGTTCCTTTACTGGTCATTTGCAGGAACACCTGGTGAAGGTGTCATAATGAATGTTAGTCCTGAATTTTGTTTAATAGACACCCGCAGCGACCAGCACATTGTACTAGTTGCCGTAAGTAAATTGGCGACGCCACAGCAAGACAGCTTTAGAATTATAGTTCGGGTAAAACATTATAAAAGCAATTTTCCATTTTACCTTATCTACCTTATTGATAAAGCTACCGGTAAGTAAAAGTAGTGGTAAAACCTGCAATTGCCAGTCTTTTCGAAAGCGAAGGTGCTCTGGCCATCTAGCTAGTGGTACGGTACCGTAGAAAGGTTACCAGTAGCTACGTTAGCTAAGAATTTGGGAGGGAAGCACCTCACCACTTCATCCTTCCTTCCCTCCACCAGAACAAGCGCCCAACAAGACTGATCAAGAGCCAAGAGCACTGCAGTACATGTGCAGCATACAAAACTGCAGTAAACACAAGAAACCCCACAACAGCTACATTGAGAGAGCTGAGCAGACAGACCGTCTCTCGCTTTCTCTTCATTCATTCACTCACTGCTGTATACCCCCAGTTATTAGAGCTCCATCAAGCTCGTATACCCATACCATTATACCCATTCTATTATACCCTTGGTTAATAGAAAGAAGGAAAGATGAGTGCGGTGGAACGCTGTTCGATTGCGTCTTCCATTACAACGTGTGCTTCTACGCGATGCTCTACTACTTCTAATTCTACTTCTACAAGTACTTCGGTAATAACGGCACATGACTTGGTGGTGTCGTTAGAAGAACTGCTGTTGCAATTGGAACACATCCAACGGCAAGTGCCTGGCTTTGAAGAAGCCGCGGGTCAATTTGACTTTTGTGGACGATGGGATCGATTGCACAAACACACGAGTCGCTTGTCCGAGTGTACGTCCATGAGTCGGGACGATGAGGACACGCTATTGCTAGAGAACGACTTTGAACAAATCAAGGAACTCGTGTGCGACTGTCGATCGTTTCTCGAGACGTTAGAAGACGCCAAGATTGCCCCGCGGCATCGGTGGCAGAAATGGTGGGACAAACAACAGAGTGGCAAATACCAACGACCGCTCGAAGCACTCTCCAATCGACTCAACGAAGTCATTGTCACGCATGTCCATCATGTCTGGGACATGGTGCCATTACAAGTGGAACACGACACTGATAGTACTTCAACAGCCTCGCTGTCTCATTTTCCATTCACTATGGACCAAATGGGACTCACTGCTCCGGTTCAGTCGGAACACGAGGAATTGACCGGATGGCACGGCAAAGGCTGCGATAAGCTCAGTTTCAGTCAACGACTTTCTACCAGTATGAGAAGTACCGCAAGTACGGCCAGTACTGTCAGTATGGACTCTTCTATGCGTTCCTACTCGACCCACAACAATAGCAACAACAACAACAACAACAACAACAATGGCAGCAGTAGCAACTGGACGGATAGCGCATCCAATAACAATCAAGATTTGCTGTGGGACTTTTCGCCACGACCACTCCCACCGAGTGGATGGGGTAGCAACGGCGGCGCTCCGAAAACGCGACGCGACTTGCAAGAACAATACGTGCAAACCCAACGATTGCGCGAACTGTCGCAAGATATTCCCGTCCAACAGATTCGCGTCGTACTGGCACAACTCGAAGCCGGGGATACCAGTCCTACCATTGTCACGGCCAAAACGGCCATGATGACACTCGGCTACTTTGGTGCGCTAATGGTATCGCCCCTTGCCATGACATTTGGATTGACACCGCAAGAAGCCATTCACGAAACACCCCTCGAAGCTGCCGCCGTCTTTTCCCATTACTTGCTGGAGTTTGAACTCGCCGATAAAGACGGGACCATAGCGACACTGGAGAATTGTGTCAATGACATTTACTTGTATGAAGGACGATCCACACGGGCCCAACAGCACGTCGTTACTACCATTCCCATGTTGCCGGGCGCCATTGGGGCACCCAACTCTGTCACACGTCCGTTACTATTGAGAGATCTCATTCGCTTTCGCAATCAACAACGGCAACAGCCGTATCGATTGTTTGAAAACAATTGCAAACACTTTTGTGTCCACGCATTGACAGGAGGAGACTTGTTCCCCAAAGCCACCAATGTCGATCGAACCAATCTCGAAGTGTTTTATCAACTCTGTCAAGGATGTTATGTCCAAGAAGAATGCTTTGACTTGTTTACCGATCCACGCATGCCACTGTTGCCAGAAGAAGACGAAGCAGAACAAGAACCGCCTCCAATGGACGATTCTTCCTCGAAACGACGACGACGACGCATGTCGGGGGTCGATGTACGAGGCTTGTCCGAACGAGATCTCATGATGGACGATTCGTCGCGACGACGACAACAACTCATGATGGATGACTCATCGCGACGACGACGACCCGTCAGTATCGTACAAATGAGTATTGATTTTGAATGGTAAAGACAATGATCAATAAATACAATGCATAAAGAAGTATATAGATAGCCATCATCCATGTACATGTACTACTATACATACTGTACTGCTCAAGAAGTATTCTTGTGTATGCACCCATCACATAGTCGGTGCCCTACTGTAGCAAAGAAGTCTACGGGCCCCTCAATCGCCTCAAAAGAGTGGTAGACTAGCTATAGACACGAATCGAGCGTGTTGATGCATCAATAACTTGGTTGTCTTCCTGTTGGCGACAGAATAATGGCGAACTTACTTCGAGGCTTTAGGGTTTATTTTATATCAGCCAGTCATTATATTATAGGACGCCTCTTTCCTTGCCCAACTTGTAAACGATTTCAAAGGATACAGAGTAGGAACTGTCGTCATTGTCGTGCTTCTCGCACATTTCGGCAATGAAAGCTGATCGTTGTCCATCATCGTCCTGCAGGGGACCCACAAAAGAAAGCCCCAAGGTAATCTTGTCTTGGACTAACTAGTGCCGCTCTTTTCCCCTCGTGGGGAGCAGCATCGAGCAAGTCTATCTACAAAATCTTGCCATCGGCTGTCTCAATGGCATTGGGATATCTTTCGTCGATCTCCATGGAACCATCCACTGTCATGCAACAATTTTCAGAGCGACAGGGAAACAGCCGACAACATGCAGCGCGTGTCTTGGTCAACACTTCTTTCCCAACGGGAACCATTGTATATGCGCAAAGAGGCATTTCTGCTTTGGAGATAACGTTTACAACTGGAGCCCCATCATTCTTGGCACTCATGCATGAGCGTCTCATACTCCTTGCAGAAAGTTGACTCGTCTGCATGAACGAGCAACTTTTAGAGCGAGCAACTCGTTTTGCACGTTTTGACGCAAAAGACGTCGCCATAAGATCCACTGCCCAAATACGCCGAGTGACCTTCTCCTGCAGGATGGCTAATACATGTGCCGACCCGTAGTTGTAGTTGCGACAAGGCTGTTTGTGCTTGACGTATTTGTGGAGTCATGTATTGTCATGTACAATTTTAGAATGGACCTTGATTCCGGAAAGTCCCATGGCACGAGCTTGTACAGCGTCCTTCGTTGGCGTCGCCAGCCACAAATCCGTGTTGGTCGTACAGAACAATATTCAACTTACGTTTCTTGACTCAAAAGCAGGAAACATAATCACACATTTCCTCAAGAGCGACATGAAGATTTCCCAAGCCCAAGCTAACTTTACCTTCCCACAATGACGGGATGTAGTGTTCCGAATCATGCTTCATGGCCAAACGAGCTCTTGCCATCAGACTGTCATTATTTAGCAAGAATCATCCATTACTGGCAACAACCTACAATGATATTGGATTGGTTCTGAATAAAATAGGTGATTTTGAAGTTGCTCTGTCAATGCATGAGAAAGCTTTTGCCATTAGATTGTCAGCATTGGGCAAGAATCATCCTGATGTGGCAACCACCTACAATGACATTGGGCTTGTCCTGGATGATGTGGGTGACTTAGAAGGTGCATTGACAAAGCATGAAGAAGCTCTTGCAATTCGAATTTCAGCATTGGGCAAGGATCATCCTGATGTGGCATCCACGTACAACAATATTGGGCTTGTTCTGCATAAAATGGGGCACTATGAAGTTGTCTTGTCCAAGTATGAGGAGGCTCTTGCCATTGAATTGTCATTATTGGGCAAGAATCATCCAAAAGTGGCATCCACCTACAACAATATTGGCTCTCTTCTATATTGCACAGGTGACTGCAAAGGTGCGTTGACAAAGCACGCGGAAGCTCTTGCAATTCGAATTTCAATATTGGAAAAGGGTCTTCCCTCAGTGGCAAACAATATTGGTACTGTTCTGCAGACGATGGGTGACTATAGAGGTGCTTTGGCAAAGCATGAGGAAGCTCTTGCCATTAAATTGTCAGTACATGGCAAGGATCATCCCTCAGTGGCAACCACATACAACAATATTGGGCTTGTTTTGGATGAGATGGGTGACTATGAAGGTGCTTTGTCAAAGTATGAAGAAGCTCTTGCCATTGATTTGTCAGCATTGGGAAAGAATCATCCTGATTTAGCAACCACCTACAACAATATTGGTTCTGTATTCTATTCTATGGGTGACTATGAAGGTGCTTTGGCAAAGTACGAGGAAGTTCTTGCCATTAGCTTGTCCGCGTTGGGCAATACTCATCCTGATGTGGCAAGCACCTACCACAACATTGGTCTTGCTCTGAGTAAGATGGGTCGCCACAGAGGTGCCTTGGCAAAGTATGAGGAAGCTCTTGCCATTAGCTTGTCAGCATTGGGCAAGAATGATCATGAGGTGGCAACCACCTACGCCAGCATTGGTGTTGTTCTCTATGATGTTGGTGACTATGACGGTGCCTTGTCAAAACATGAGGAAGCTCTTGCCATTCGATTGTCAGCATTGGGCGAGAATCATCCTGAGGTGGCAGCCAGTTACAACAACATTAGGGCTGTTTTATATTGCGTGGGTGACTACTCTGGAGCCTTGTTGAAATTTGAGAAGTGCCATTCGGGAGCAAGCTTTGGGATCAGATCATCCTGATACCAAGTCCTGCCTGAAATGGATTGAAATTGCCAAGGTGAGATTGCAGCAAGGGCTTTTACACGTATTGTCTTCCAGAAACCACTTCGTACAGGTAACCTACCCTAGCTAGCTAGATAGAGGCACCGGCCAACCAACGTGGCTGGAACTGTAAAATGCACAAGGTGCTGGATGTGAACTAATAGCTTCCACTGCGGTGGCAAAGGCAACAGGATCGCAGGAAAGAACAAACATGAGGACTTTGAGCTCGGCATTGGCTATGGTTGCTTGCACCAGCCACTGTTTAAGCCAGCGGAGCTGTGTAACCTCGGCAGAAAGGTTTCAGTGTAGAAGCAGATACCCCTATAGCTAGCTAACTAGAAGCAGACACCTCTAGTGCTTAGCTAGTGCTTAACTTGTGCTTAGCTAGCTAGAAGCAAATCCCCCCTAGCTAGAAGAGATTCCCTAGCAAGCTAGAAGCAGACACCCTAGCTAGCTAGAATACTAGTTATATAGCTTTCGCTGCTTTAGAGTTTTTCCTGGTAGAAGCAGATCCCCTACTAGATGGATGTAAATTGCTTTAGCTGGTTTGCACCATCCTAGCTAGGATACTTACTTAGTTTTTGCTGACTTATTTGTATTCTAACCCTACCCTTATACCTGCAGGGACCACCGTAGCAGGAAAAACAATTAAAGGGGTTGAGGGCTCTGGCAGCAAGACTGCCGAGGTAAAGTTGAAAGAATACATGCAAAATATTTCCATGCAACATTTTCGCTAAACTAATTATGTAGTATCCTTGGTAGGGGGGGGACCTGCTCTACGTACATGCACATCTCTCCTTGCATGTATTAGAACCTAAAGCCTTCTTCAAAAATAAAGAAGGTACCTCCACAATTAAACTGTAGTGAAGCACAGCACAGGCCACTCAAAAGCCATCCAGTCAACCAACCAGGCTAGAAGTGATGCACAAAACTAACCGATTCGAGCAGGTTCTGGGCACCGGACTCCTCCACCATCCTAGAACCTTTCTCCAGACTCAGGCCGTCATGGAGAAGCTCTCTCTCATCACTTGCCATTTTCATGGGAGCAACAATCACATTGCAAGTATCAGATCCAGACCTGCCCGCAGCATCTGTGGCTGTCACTGCAACCTCATAGACACGGCTACCAATGGGACTATCTTGGCAGAAGCCAGCCTTCTGGGTGTTGGAGCAGGTAGCCTGGTTCAAAAAGAGCTTTGGGAATGTTTGGGTGGTGTTCTTCATATTGGCGAGGGAGAGGATGGCACTGGGGCCAGTCATGTCCAATTCGTTGCTCTTAATGGACACATCCACATGGACCTCGTCAGAACAGGAATCTTCTACCTGGAGAAATAACCCAGGATCAAAAAATTCATGCAATTCTTCCACGTAGAGGATCTTCTTGTCCGGCGCAGTTGAAGCCTGGAAGCCACAGCTAATCACAGGGGGTTTGGTGTCCACACGGACCGAGAATTCTTCAATCTTACCAATAACAGGAGCATCATTGCACCATTGGATAGGAGCAGCCGATACAACAGCTTGACACTCACTGATTCCCTTGACAGTCACATTCAGCACCAAATCCTTCGCCCCAGCACAGTCATCCACAACTGACAAAGCACCACGTACAGAGGCGACTGCCTCATCAGTAGAACTGAAAACCTCGCTTTGAACATGCTTTGTCGCTCCATCATCTTTTAACTTCAGAAGAGATTTGTGGATAAGCACCGAAGGTGGGACTGGGTGTTGGGTGTTGACAAAGACAGATTAGAGCCAACATGATACCAACCAACACATTGGTTTAAGAGAGATCTTACATTTGTCTTCTTCACAATTGTCAATGACTCCATCCCCATCTTGGTCATTGCCATCACAACCGGCATTTTGGGCAGTAGAGGGGCTCACATCCATCAAAGCATGCCTGCCCTCGCACGTCTCTTCGAGGCTTGAAAGCTTTGAAATGATGGTTGTGATGGCAGTAGAAGGGCTCGAATCCATCAGAGCACGCCTGCCCTGGCATGTTTCTTCGAGGCTTGAAAGCTTTGAAATGATCATGTTGACTTTACCATTGCTGTCATCATCATCATTGCCAAGGAACCCTACCAACGAAGCAACAAGATCACCAAGACCTTCCAGATTGTTGTCAACCTTGGCCGTAGCTTCGAAGGATGATCGCATGCCCTCATACCTAGAGTCGGCAAGCAAATCACCAAAAAGAAAAATCAGGAAAATCAAAGCACAGCCCTCTTCTCACCCCTTGACTTACATTCTCTCGTTGTTCTTGTGTTGCACTTGCAGGATTTCCCAGGCCTCAATGGGCCCAACATTGCCAATTTCTGTTGTTTCGGCAATAGAAAACTCCCAAACGTCATAAGCAAAGTTCAGGGCGATCAAAACAATATGAAGAACCAAAAATCCCAAATTCTGAAGGTGAACAGGAGATGGTAAGTTCAAGATTCTGTCATGTGAGTAGTGCAAGCAATAGGAACTTACCTTAACAGTCACACAACCAATATTCTATATATGAGGGTGAGAATAGCCGTGATGAGTTATAACAAGTCAGCCACAAAAAGGACATCCAATGCATGTGCCTACAAAATGTGCTTACAGATGAAATTTCAGAAGTACATTCAATGTCTGCAGTTAAATCAACAGCGCTTTGAACAAAAGTCCTTGCTAACCCCAGGGCAAACAAAAGACCACCTGAAACTCCAGCATCTTGTACCAAGTTCGTTCTCGACCATTCTGGTGTCAAAGCCAAACAATTATGAGTGACAAAAATCACCCTAGGGGTCCCCCCAGTGCATGAGAGACTTGGAGGAAAAGACTCACTTTTGTCAACATTGAACAGCTCATCCCACTCCGTGGTATCGATGTTGGTGTGGGTGTAGTCGTTGGCATTTGTTTGATAGTTGCTGTCATAGCCACCACCACCCATTCTGCCAGGATCTACAGCAGGCGATCCTTGAGAATAGAACTCATCCAGAAACCCAAAATCTTTGGTATTGTGAAGCTACATAGAACATGCATAAGTCAGAATGACATGTTGGCTGTTCAAGAGCAAGTACAGTCACAATAATACTTGCCTGCTTGATGTTCGCGCACACATCATCGTCATTCTGTAGGCTCAAAAGGAAACACAGATGAGACAAAGCATCTTGACCAGCTGAGTGCTAGAAAACAACTACAAATCGCACCTTGTAGAGAGGATCATAGCCAAAATATTCCCGAGAATCACCGCAATCATCAAAGTCATTTGGATTCTCAACAGCACCTGGTTCTAGGTAGGCTTTGTAGGACAACTTCCCATCATTCTCAGCTCTAGTCATCTCTTGATCAACACAATCTTTCAAGACTGAGCAATCTGTTGCAGTTGGACACCAGGTACCTAGAGTTGGAGAGAGCAAAGAAGTTTAGCTGCTACCATCAATAGACATAAACTTTTCAAGATGCACGCGAACATGTGCACTTGCCACCAACAGCTGAACAACTCTCTTCACTGAGCCCACTGAAAAAGGAAGCCCGTTCGTTGCAGGTCATTGAGCAGTCAAACTGGCCGGAGAGAAGGAAAAATGTTTAGTCACATAAGCTCGTAAGGCCATCAATCATGAGACTTCCGGAAACTTAGCATACCTCCCTCCCCCTAGACAAATCAAAGCATTGCCGGTCAGTAAGAGTTTCACAGCTTGACTCTTTTCAAAGCTATGAGACCGAGACTTCTTACCATTCACCACCTTTGGAGCAGTGACATGTTTTGGTGAGTAATTGAAACTGAATGAGAATCAGCTATACATGAAGCAACCAATATGTGTGACGTACCAGGGTTTTGAAATGGTGCATCCAAGCAGCATGTACCAGGGAACTTTTTATGCAAAAGGGGTGGTTAGAGCTGTTGAAAATGCAATCCTAAATGTCCAGAATCACACAAGCTCACCTTATCTCCACCAAGACGATTAACAACACCGTCGACGCCACAGATATAACCCACAGAAGCATCCTTTCCAAAGACGAGGTTGATGCCCCTCTGAAACACAAATGTGATAAGGATGAGTTGGATAGGAAGGCTTTAGGAGCAGGAACAATTCGAGCGCTTACCTGAACAGAAGCATACTTGCTGCTAATTTTGTCATTGAACCGATCATACTCCTCTGTTCAGACGAAAAAGAAGCCGTTCATTAGTCACAGCAAACAACAAGACCTCAGAACAATAAATGGCACCATGGGGCACTCACTCTCACGATCCTCAAAAGCATCGCCACTGTAGGACCTGCCATGGTGTTGGGCAAAGCCTTTGACTATCTGGTAGTGGATGTCATCATTGGACTCCGCCTCTCCGACAAGCCCCATGTAGAAATCTGAATTGTCATAGTGCTTGCTCGTCAAGGGATATGGGCTCAAATAAGTTTGCCGTAACTTCCTCCTCAGATTATCATCGTCATGCTGCAGCCAATTGTCCCAGACCTTTTTGTAGGTCCCCACCTGGCAAGAAGTTTGGGATGTTAGAATGCAACAACTATAACCATCAATGCAGCACAATCCAACAAGAATCATACCATGTCATGTTGGACTTCCTCAAGCCCATCGACCACACGACCCTCCTCATACTTGTAGAGTGTCACAGTATCATCTTCCCAGGCAGAGAAATGGCTTTTTAGAAGAGAGTGCGTGTGCAACAAATCATGCAGTCCAGTACACCCCTCTACCCTTATCATACCTTTTACCTGACCATAATCATCACGACTGTTCTCGGTCTCAATGCCAGTAGGCACAAAGAACGATTCCTCATAGGCACCTGTAGTAACAGATTTGTGGGTGATAGGCAGGTAAGCCATGGCATTACATGAAACGATGCAATAACAATCAAATCAAAGTCACACCTTCGAACTGAGGCAGGGCTTCTCCATTTCCTCCTTCGATGATGCCAAAGACAAGGATCTCATACAAAGAAACACGTCTGTCTGGGTTGTTGCATTTGATTCGGAACCTAGCAGCTGTTGACGAGACTGGCAGTAAGTTCATCGTCTTCACAGTGCCATCATTCGAAACAATTGTGTCACCCCATTCAAAAGGTATTTCCGATCCATGAAATCCAGCCCACAAAGAAAGCTTTGACTGGGGGCATTCTTCGCCGTTCCTCCACTTCAATTCAATTGCTTTGAGCGGATTGGTTGATTCAACGCCGTCTTCAAATGATTCGAGTTGTATCTTGAAGTCCACGCTGGGGGGTATCATGTTTGAAAAAAAGTCATTGTAATCCACCTCCATGAAATCCTGGTTATGCCCTGAGTGGCAATTGTTTACAACTATGTCACGATCACTTTGTTTGTCCAGGCACTTGTTCCTCCCCTCATTCTTGATCCCATGAGTGGCATACTTGGTCCATCGCTGTCTGCTATTGCCACTGTCGCACGTGGCCATGTAAACTTTGTCATTGCCTCCCTGAGATTTTGCTTCCATGCATTTGCTTTGACTGTCATGCATTGACCTGATCAGTTTGGTGCTTGGTTCATAGTACCACTTCTGGTTGTTGCCATTATGACAATCGTATGCATGAAGGTAGTCATGGTCACTACCGGTGTGCCAATCCACACAATATTGCTGACCATCGGACCTAATTTTAAGTCTCATTGGATATCCTTTGGTTCCATCCCTGGACTTCCACCAACCTGAACTACCAGACATACTTCTGTCAAACAGTTTGGACTTGCTGTCCTGGGTTGACCCAGAAATACCAGAAGTTACGCCTCCAGAACTTCCACCATATTCATCCACACTTGATGCTCCCGTATCAATGCCAACCTCTTGCTCCCTAACAAAGGGAAATGGGGATTTCCTTGGGTTGGCATTAGAGTTGTATAGCCTCTTGGAGCACGTGAACATTTCCTTGGCAATCTCGTCTGCAGCTTTGAAGCCAACTTTTGTTGCAATCTGATCCAACTGGACATATGTGTGTCTGGACCGGATAGAGTAAGGGACAAGAGGATTTGTTTAGATTGGCACAAACTGATCAACAGCTCGTTCCCATGGCTATATGGTGCTTTAAAGCATAACGTACCCGCCTTGAGCATGACATACATCCCTGGAAGATGGATTGAGAAGCAAGCAAAGCAAATTGAACTTTTATCATGATAGCAAGGTACTACTATCGTAGAGTCCAGGAAACCGACTTACGAGATCGTGCCACCTTCCCAGTGTGGAACATCTTGCACCAACAAAACGTGCATTTAGAAGACATGGTCGGTTAACAAAATCTGAGATTGAGGGTACTCACCTCCAAACTCCACATTTCGAGAGAACAGCCTCAGCGTCCTGTCGCACCATGCAGGTCGACCAGAACCACGGAAATATGTCCAATCTCTGTTGTTGAGAAGCTGTGTGCGTGCGTTTTGTACGTCGGCATGGTTATAGACTTCGTACACATCTGGAGCTGCATGGGAAAAATCACAAGAAGGGAATGCAGTCAGGAAGGAAATCAAGTTGAATAAACTGGGTCGACCCGAGCGCGCATACCTTCTGTATGAATGTAAATGTTGTCATCTATCTTTCCGTTGTTAGGGTCAATCTTTAGATGAATGATGGGGACAGAACAGTGTGAGCTTTCAGGCTGAGCTGCATAGAAAACATGTGGCATCAATCGACTGTTAGTACTTACATCATCAGAGTAGAAGAAAAGAATCATGTCGTCTTTTCACATTGCGGGGAATCAAGTAGTCGAGTCAGTATTTGCAAAGCCATGCAAGTCAAGGACAGCTACGATCACCACGATCACCAAAGTCACTTACAAATGGACATTTTGCCAATGCATCCCATCAAGATCTCGCACTGTTGTGCTTTGGCGTTCTGGGTGTCACTCCAAAGGTGGCGTTGATTCTGGTTCAGGGAGCGAGCCCGCGTTGCGCGAGACTGGATCGGGCCCAAATGACGGTTCATACCGTCATGGTCTCCCTTCTGGAAGACGTCGTGCAACTTAGTGAAACGGTCAAAATGGCTTTGAGCACGATGATTCCCCTCAAACCGACTGCGAAGAATCCGGCGGTGCTTTGAGGTTTCCTTTTCCTTTTGGCGGGACTCAGAAGATGTGGCCTTATTCCAATCCGAGGTGGAAGGCGGGACATCCAAATTGATCTCTTGCGACGTTTGCGCCTGAGATGTGTCTTGGAGACCTCGGCGATAAGTGCTCGTGTTATCCGCCATTGACTCGCCTTGATTTTCTTCAATGGGTGTGCTGGTTGGGAGTGGTTTCTTCTCTGTCTGTTCCGTCTCGTTCGACCCTCTCGAGGAACCCTCCAAGTAACTAATCATCTGAATACGCAAGGAGAATCAAAACATAGAGTAAGTTCACTGAATATCTAATCAATCATGTGCAAAACCAAGGAAGAAATCCATCACGGTTGCATGTGCCAGTTTGCCTCACCTTAGGAAACAATTTCAACGCCCTATTGATTTGAGCCATCGCGGACTGATAGTTTATCTGCAGCTGAGCTGACCAGCCATTGGACTCCTCAGTAGTTTTCTGTTCTTGTAGGTCGGCAAACATGGCCAGTGATTTCACTTTGGCTTCTTCCACCAAGGCGGCACTGCCGCGGATGGCATTTGCAGTGGCCCTTGCCACGTCCGATTTGTCCCCGTTGATCCGGGCGTCAGCAACCTGGTTCTTGAGTGTATCCAGAGAGGCTACTGCCCTCAACTGAAAGGACTCGATTGAATTAGCATGAGCAACGAGACCGGTGGCATCCTCTTTATCGGTGTTGGTAAGAGTCGCATCAGGGTTAGGGTCCGTGTCGGTACTAGTTGCAGTGGAGGCAAAGGCAGAGCCAAGATCTTGTTCATCACTGAGAGTAGCTTTGGCAGGCTTGGCAGTGTCATGAGCAGCTTGATCATCTTCAAGTTCATGTTGGTCTTCACCTTGGCCTTGTTCCAGATTGGTATCATAGATGGCGTCCACGTCCACGTTGGAATCCAAAATGGTGTCTTCGGATCCATCAGCAAGAGCAACCATGTCTTGGTGATCAGGAGTGGTAGTGGCACCAGTGTTAGTGGTACCAGTAGTAGAACCCGCACCAGTGGGTACAGGCTGGACATCTTGAGCCTTGGTAAGGTTCTCGACCGAGAGAGAGAGTCCGAGCAGAACGGTCAGGATCGTCTTGGCATTGATCTTCATCTTGAGGATTTCTTTTTCTGGTTTTTCTTTTTTTAGTTTTTTGTTTGTTTTATTTTGGATCCTCCCAACTCAATCACAACTTCCTTTGAGATCAATCGACACGATACAATCTCGACCACACGATAAACAGCAACGGCAAGAACAACAGCAACGGCAACGGCAACAGCAACAGCAACGGCAAGATAAACAGCAGCAAGAGCAACAATCAGTCAACCTAAGCTCTGTTTCAAGGCAACAGTATCGGTATCAGTATGGTATTGCTTGTCTTTGTCTTCAATCTCCTGTTGATGGTATCAGAATACAAACAACAAAAGAGTGGGAACTTCAGATTGTGGGGGCTCTGGTGCTCGACTGCTATCTTGACCACCCTTCCAGCCGCGATGCCGCCATTCTGCGAAAGATACCTGCACGATGCCCCGCCCCACAGGGTCGTTGGGTATTGACATGGGGCTTGACTGAGTTAATCGCATTAGAAGCCAATTTCGAAGTCGGCTGATAAACTTATCAACCGTTTTCGATCGGCTGATAAATCCCTATGGGGAACGGCTCCTTATCAGCCAGATTCGCCATTTATCAACCGATTTCGAAATCGGCTGATAAATCCCATAACCGGCTGATAAATCTACGAAACTGGCTGATAAAGTTATAAGACAGTTTGGATTCGGCTGATAAAGCTTTGAATGGGCCTGATAAATCCAAATCTGGCTGATAACCATAAGTTATTGGTCGTGTGTGAGTATTTAACCTCCTTACCCAACGACCCAGCAAAGATACCATTCTGCGAAAGATACCTACAATAGGGTAGGAGTCATGGGAAACTGCACAGATGCTGGCAAGGGGTTCCCGAGCTTTGTTACAAAACTACGGTATGGATGAGGTTTTGGTCCATCGTGGGAGAAGATCGATGTGGGTGTCGCTTTCCACGACGTGGAATCCCCCATCCGAAACCCAAGCGGAATCGAATCTGGTGTTGCAGTTGCTCCGCTCTGGTATGTGGATGTAATCACCAGCTTTCTCCTGAGCTAAAAAGCAGAAAGATATTGGCATGCAATGAACGGAGTTGATTGTCGTTTGGAAGACTGCCAACACTCCATCAATCCCCATCAATCCAATGGCGGGATGGGCACTTGAAAGGACGTGCAGAGATGCGCCAAATTCAAGACACGATTCGTGAACTGCGGCAAAGTTCGCTGACAGTTCTGTTCTTGAAGCCCTATTTGTCCTTGAAACTTTTGACACTTGCCCGTGGTAATGGCAAAGCAAAATTTGTGAGAAATCGTAGCACCGCCCTTGTTGAACACGTACGTTCGATCCAGTTTCTTGTCTTCCTCGGTAAAACAGGCAACATCAGTGATACACCCATTCTTCATGAGATGTGTCCACTGTCCGTTAGGTCCGAAATAGACAACATCATCTACCAGCGAATTCATGGCAGTGGTCGTCAGTAGCACTCCACAAGGACTCTTCTCGACAAGATCAATGTTATCGCGCCTGCAGAGACTACTGCCATGGAGGACATCGCAATTGACATCCGTTTCGCCCAAATCTCCTGGACGGATCACAGGGACCAAGTTCTCTGGTACACTCTTGCAAGAGTCTCCTCTGTAGTGTGTAATAGTCTGGTGAGGGTATCGCTTCTTCAAAAGCTCCACTACCGGTAGCTGGTACGGTCGATCAAACTTGTCAAAAATGTGAAGGTCGACGTGGGGAGATGCCGCCAAAAAGGTGGCACTCCCGTGGCCAGCGCCAAAGCCAGTCTCGCAAAGGACTAGGCGTTTACCAGCGCTCTTCATCTTGAAATCAGCCAATAGACCGACCAAAGAAGTGATGAGGGCTGTTTGTCGCGGGTAGAGGAAGATGCCACCGGATACCCGGGATTTGGGATACTTGGAAACTTGCTTGTCGATCTCACTCCATTTTTGTTGCAAAGACGAGCTGACTCGCTGTGTGGTATCTGTAATGTTGTTGGCATGGCAAAAGCTGTCCTCTTCAATCTTGCGGGAAATGAACCGAGAACGGACGTTGGCACTCAAACTGTATCGAAAGTCTTCTGCATGGGACGGGCACAGATAGTCTTGATGAGTCTCGGCCAAGTTGCACGTCCCAAAGTTCGGAGCAGCAAAGGTCCTCTCGTCTTCATATATACAATAATCACTCGAGACCTTTGCATCGGCGCATGTACGCGACTTTGGAATTTCGTCATTCAAGATATCAATCATCCATTCGGAGGGCTTGGGCATGATCCCTGGCTCGTTTTGGACCATTAGATTGGTCAATGTCCGGTACAAGTCGGGCCCCGTCACCAATCTTTGTTGGTTCTCATGCAAACTTTCTAATGAAAAGTTTGCAAAGCTCCTTGGGACGATGATCTCTGTCCATGGCCGCAGAGCTTCTACTTGCGTTGAGTAGTCCAAGTTGTTGGGAGGGCCTTGCATGCCGTGATCACTCCGTACAACGAAGATTGTGTCTTTGGCGTCCTGGCTCTCCAGCATACTCTCCACGAACGATGCCAAATTAGCGTCGTATTCCTCTGCAGCAAGTGTCATACTGAATGATATACCGGTGAGGACAGAGAAGAGAAAATAAACTTTTGCTGAACGCATGGTTATGGCCAAGACTTACACTGGGTACTTTGCATAAACATGAGCCGCCAAAGCATTCAAGTACGCAAGCTTGGGAATATCAGGATAGACCTCCCACATGGATTTGAGGTAGCTGAGGGAGACATTTGCTTTTGGAAAGCTTCCCTCTCCATCAATACCTAGAACGTTTGGATCTGTGGCTCCCACATACCTCCAAAGCGGGCCCGAAACCTTTCCGCCCTTCCGCGTGATTTGCCGTTCGGTTATGCGACAAAACAGTTCATGGGGGAGAATGTCCGCCTTGAGAGGGAAGATGTTGTTTTCTTTGTTTTAAAGAGGACAGAAATGGCAAGCATCTTTTAGTCGTTTTGAATCACGACAGCAAAAGGCAATATCGTGGCAACTAAAATAGAACTCACGTGCAGTCCATGGACTTTTATCAAAGCAAAACTCCTCTGCAAATAGGGTCACATAGCCAGCTCGTTCGGCAATGTCAAAGATCCAAGGTGAGCGCTTGGGTGACGACCCAACCTGCTCACTACCCTCAATGTCGGACACCCGACACCACGTTGTTGAATCTCTAAACTGGTTTGTTTGTTCCATCCCAAAAGCCAAATGAGTATCGTCATAGCAGATTGTGCGACTTGTACCTCCAACGGTCGTTTTTGACGTCTTTTCACAGTCCTCCGTGGGACCTGTGGTGACCATGCAACCTCCAAAGGTGCTAATCTGGTTCGGTATGGAGTTGGGGCCTCCAAAAGGACTGAACTCTTGTAGATCTGCAGAGCACCACTTGGAGCTTCCACAGTCAAAAGAAGCCCTTCCGGTTGTCCCATCGATAGTCTTGCGAATCCGGAATCGTTCCAGAAGCTCTCTCGTTTTTGGCAAATGCCGATCTGCATATGCCGAAGACACCGAATCTACCTCGATAAACATAATGCTGGGACGCCGGCGAGCCATACCGCTCTTCTGGGACCTTTGGACGGCAGGTCGTTCCACAATCGAAGGGTTACGATGCACTTGCACCTGGACACTGGTTGTGGTATTGTGACAGTCGACAATGGCAAATGTCTCTTCCAAAGACCAGTTTCGTTGCAGCGATTTGTCTCGGAATCGGGATCCACTACTACGTGCGGACCACGGGTGCTCGGAACAGCGTTTCCATTGGCGGCGATTGGTGGCACACATGCATTCCGTACCACGAAGAAAGGCTTGAGTTGTATTCAGAGCTTCCGCGTCGATGGGTGGTGCTTCCAATGACATCTTGTTCTGCTTGGGAATGTCGGAGTAGAACGAGAGTGCCGAAGCGGGACTTGGTACCATTCTCTCTGCCAAGGATAGAGCGCCCCGATCGGTAGTTGTCGTTCGAAAGAGCCTACACGCGTCTTCTGGAATCAAAGGAGTAGTCTCACAGGTTTGCCCTGATGATGGTAACTCTTCCAGCAAACTCGAACCTTGGAGCTTTGGAGACGAGTCCTTCGTGGCTGCGTTTTCTTCCGGAAGAAGCAACTGCAGGAGAGTCTCGTGAACATCAAACGGTGTCGTGTAGTACTTGGAGTTGTCGTGGAGGACCTCTCGCTGGGCTTGGGTTGTATATTTCGATGGCAAATGAATGTGAAACATGGGCTGCGACCGCTCCTTGAGACCCTGTCTCGTCATGAGGTAGTTTCCATAATGCAGTCCGTGATCGGACAGTAGCACAATGACAGTGTCGTCCCACACACTCGACGGCTCGTCTGGTGAAGAGTACAGATTCATGAGGAACTTCCACAACAAGTCGTCCAACGTCCCCGCCATCATCATGGAATCTTCGTGGGAATCGATAAAGTGGACAAAGGCGGCCCATGGCTGGTCGTCATCTGTGTTATTAGTATTGTAGGTAGTGATGAATTGTTGCGTATACTCGAGCAAATGTTCGGCCGCTCGTTTGCCTCCCAGACAATTGGGACGTTGAAAATCAAAACAAAACATGCGATTCAACTGTTCGCCATGATCGACTTGCGGATTGATGGATTGCAACATGTTGCTATTGGCAATGCACCCGTCTTCGGCCTTTAACGTGACATACTGTGCTGACGACTTTTTCAATCGATCCCACAACCAGACGCGTTCGGTATCGGCAATGGATTCTCGATTCCCAGCCGACAGCGGCACTCCACTGTAGAGGGCGGCCTGATTGGGTCCCGAGTTGTTTCCGACGGCCGTGTAGGAGGAAAACGAAGTGAAGTTGAGTTTTTGTTGGATCAAATAGCTGGTTTGAGGAAGAGTTCGATGAAACTGCGCTCGGCTAATGGGATCCATCATGAGTAGCAACAAGTTGGGTCGTCGACGTGTCTTTTTGGGTACTGCTGCTGGTTTTGGTGTTTGGGGCAGTATCCTCGTGGTACATGCAATGGTGGCGGCGGCAATATCGGGTGGAGCAAAGTATTTGCCGGCCGATTTCCGTTTGACGCCTCGGGGTGGTTTGCAGAGTTGGATGCGTGTACAGACGGCCTCGGATTGATTAAAATTGGGATGCGAGTGCCACAGCAAGAGTGGTTGATCCGACGATTGGTTGTGATGATTCATGTCCGTGGTGAGTGTGGGTGCGACGGGTTGGGTCCGATTCCGACAGGTAATGGTGACATTTTGATGGTTTTTGTCGTCCCATTGAATTCCGGCATACGTGGGATCGCACGGTTTGTAGACAATTTGTTCTTTGGAAACGGACTGTACCGTGTCACTGGCAAGTGGAATGGCGAGATCCAATCCTTGTGTGGCAAACACATATCCCCGAACCGGTTCGTATCGTGCGGAATGAATCAAGAAGGATTCAAACTTTTCGAGCCCCGCAAGGGTAATGTCGGCATTGGGATAAAACACATCGTGTTGGACATGGGAAATGGACAAGAGTTGAACTTTGTACGAGTGTTGTTGCAGCAGCATTCGAATGGCGTCGATTCCATAGGGTAAAAAGTTGGGATCGGCTCCGAAACTGACGACCATGTAGGTGACGGTGGATTGTTGGAGTAGTGTGTGTGCTTGTCGTAGTACTTCGTCGCTGCGATAGGAATCGACCATCATGAGCAGGAACCAACTGGGTCGTCCATCTTGATTGTTCCACCACGTTTCGATGGATGGTTCTTGTGCACTACTGATGGTGGCGTCATGTCCATCGTAAATGCCGTGAATGGTATGCTGCTGTGCATGTGCATGAATGAGAGCGGATCCCCCCACGGTATAGTTGATGTGTTTTTGCAATTCTTGTGGTTGTTGTGGATTGTTTTTGTTGTCTTTTTGCAATAAGAGCTGTGCGACCGTGGGAGCATCTTGTGAGACAACTAGAATGTTGGATTGTGCAATTTTCCTGGAACAGACTCGAGTGACAAAATCTCTCATGACAAACCCAAAAAGAGTGCGAGGACTCTTGGGTAGATATCCAGGGATTCGTTGTGGAGCATATTGGAGTTCTGGATGATGATTATCATCATGGTCATCTCTATAAGCAGCTTGTCTCCTTTGAGCATAGGTAATATCAGCAATATTTCTTCTTGTTTTTGTGTTGAATGGAATTCTGTGTTCTTGTTCTTGGTGCAGTTTTGGTAGTATTGGTTTCTTGGAGTCTGGCTTGTATAGCTGCTTGTACTTGTAGTTGTTTTGTGAGTTTTTGGATTCTTCCAGTCTTTGCAAAAGTTTGGGTTTGTCTTTTTGTTTTCTGGAAGGTGGAGGATGATTGAGTATCAATTCTTCCTTACTCTTTCTACTATGCATAGCAGTATGATCATTAGGAGGAGTATCATTTTGTTCTTCTTTTGGAAATATCGTGTTCAACATGACATTGACATTGGTAGAAAGGAAGAGTAGACCCCCCACAAAAAAGAGCCAAAACCAAACCGTGCTCCAACCAGTACCAGGTCCCCAAAGCTGACTTTTTTTCCGTCTTCGATGTCCTTGGACGCTACCGGTACCACCATTACCATTCCCAATGGCACTACTAGTAGTAGTACCAAGATGGCGGTTATTGGAGGGAGGATGGGCTCTGGACCGGACACGGCCAATGCCATTCACACTAGTACCACTCGTCATTGGTCAATCTCAATGGATGGGGTATAATAGTAGAGTGATAATGGTAATGGTAGGGGTATACCAATGACAGCAAGATACTCTTGGATAATCAAAAATGGGGCACCCTGCTACTATCTATCTGCCAAAGGTGACAGTGCAGAGATCAGGTAGTTGTTTGACAGATTGGTCTAAACTACTACTCCTACTAGTATGGATAGGATGACTAATATTACCCTTCAATGGATGGATCCTTTGCTTGGGGGTGGATGGATTTTACCGTTGATAGCGCGGATGAGCGAATTGGGGGGAAAATAAATAAATAAATTTACAGTAAAAAGCTTAGCGTGGAAACTCAGTCAGCGTCGTGGAAAGTCAGACCGCATGTTGGAAGAACCCAAGCATCGATCGACTTGTGCCTGGTAGATCTACCGCGCCGTACAGTACGGTACCAGTCTTGCTTACTTAGACGCGCGAATTGTTCAGTCAGTTCAGTCGAGCGAGCTGTCGCAGTTGTTTCCGCGACTGTACTAGTAGCTATCTAGCTGGCTAGCTCTAGCTAGCTAGCTTCCGGTAAAGTCTGAGTATTTCTAGTCTAAAACTACTGTTGGCATTGCATCACACTTCCGTCAATTTCAAGAAGCCTTCAGCAATGTCCGGAAACTGTGGTTTCAATTCATGGTTTTAGTTAGTTTCATTCTGAGAGAATGATAAACTAGCATCCCCAATTTGTGAAAACCAGCCAAACAAAACCACACACCAAATTAACGTTTTTCCGTGCATTTGTTTCAATTTCAAATACATAAAGCTAATTTCACAACTGTGTTACTGTCAAAATAGTAGAGTTGTCTCCCGTTTCCGGCCATTGAGTCAAATGTTCGCGGAACAATAATTGAGTCTTCCATCAATTTCAAGAACCCTTCAGATTCTGGTAGCTGTAGCTGTAGCTAGCGCACTCAAAAGTTTTGGGACTTGGATGCTGTACTGCCGTATGGGTGTTGCAAAAGTTGCAGCCTCATGTTTCTCTCATAATATACGATATCATTGAAAGTAAGCTAGACTAGTTCCACAATTCAATTCATGAACATGGTCTCCACGGATTCATCTCGACCCGATCCTCCCGACTACCAGCAAGAGGAAGGAGAAAGTCCATGGGACGGCATTGGTCCCGATAGCACCAACTGTGTGAGGAGGCACCCTTCATGGCTGCCAACGGATATGTGTCATTTGAAAGGATCTGCCGTGGGCCCCACAGATGCTGCTGCTTCTCTTGTTACTGGAACCAACAACAACAACGACAATGAGGATGGCCCGCATGGCACAATCTTGGCCAATGCCCGTTTGGTCGAGACGGAACTGGAACCTGTTGTCAGTGCACATGTGTTGGAGCAGCAGCAGTCCACACCATGTAGTACATGTGTGCCGGACACCAACACGGTTGGTGGGAGGCGACTGCTCTGTGCCATTGTTGTCATTGCTGTTGCGCTGTCCGCCGTCGCCATTACAGGAATTCTTTGCGCATCCGGAGTTTGTACTTCCAAAGAGGAAGATCCGCCCATCACTAGTTTCACTACGGAACAAGGAACTTTTGCAGCGTCAAGCAGTCCTTCCGTGGTGTTTCAAGAATCCATCCGTCCTCTGCTGGTTGTAACAACACTGCTGCTTTTAGTGTGTGGCTGAGTTGAAGCTAGTCTACTAGCTAGTTGCAGTACCCAAAGATCAAGTGAGCTTTGCTGTGTTGGTTGGTTCTGTATGACGGCTTTCAATCTAGCTCGCCACCACGCCTTCTGGACGCTCGGGATCACTGCAACTAGCTAACTACATGTACTAGACATAGTTGTAGCTAGATATACCATTATTTGTATTCTCTAGGTTCTGTTAGAATACTGACTGTTTGGTATTGCGCCATTCATCTTTGGTGGCGGGTATTGGTTGGCTTTGGTGTTCTTCCCATCGACTACTAGAGCTAGAGCTCTCATTAAGATTGCTGACAGGCAAAGGCCGCCCATTAGATCGATGTTCGTGTCGTATCCGTAAATCTCCATGCAATTCTTCGACGACGCATGTCAAGACGGCACGATCTTCTTGTCGTATTCCTTTATAGGAAAAGATTTGATCGACGGTATAAATGACGACGGCCACCAATCCTCCCGCCAATAGTTGGACGCGATCGACTCGTACTAAAGCAAACTCGTGCAATTGAATGTCGTCGTGACAAAAGAGATCAATGAAACCGCACGAGTCCAATGGATTCCCCGAAGGACGGACCATTTGGTAACTCGCGGCATGATACTTTTCGTAGAACGCCTTCCAGCATTCCCGCGATTTGCTGTGAATGTTGGAATTCAGGTCGTCGTAGAAATCGTGCAGCAGCGCCGTGACCGAATCGGGACGTAGCAAACGGCGACTACTACTTGTGGTAGCACTAGTAGTAGCCGTATGAATGGTGGGACCACTCTCCATGGCCGTCGTTGTTTGAGACTCTTCTTCCGTCTCGTCGTCCACGTCATCGTCGTCGTAGTCTTTCATGGGGCGACGCAACGGCAATCGAGGAGGATCGCAACGGTTGCTGGGGCGCTTATTCATGGGTTGCCTGATGCTGCTTCTAGTGGACTTGATCATCATGATGCTGTAAACCTATACAGAGGGGTATCAGACTGTGCTCCCTTTGTCTGTTTGTGAGAGTGCACCTGAGCTACCGGTAGCTAGGTCGCCATTCGATATCTTGGGCAAGCAAGCTGTCACCAAGAATAGCGATGGCAACTGTTGCAGTCATCGAAGCGAATGGCGTGTCGGCGTCCTCGGTGTTATTCTAATAAAATTTTGCGCAAGAAGGCCAAGTTCACGAACGTGGTCACTCGATAACAAAAACAATTATTGGACGTTGAAGACGACTTTAATCTTGAGACTTCTTAAATACACAAGATGGGACAAGATGTCTGTTTGTAATGACTACTTACAGCCGATAGGAGTACTTACTGTAAATAGTTGTACAGTATGACACGAATCCTGCGAAAATCAAGTTCTAGCGACATAAGGCACAACCTGTACCGGTGAAATTGTGACTGTTGCTTGCCACCAACCGGTATCCTGGTTTGTAGATACAGTAGATAGATGATGAGCAAAAGTTCAAACTACTGTTCGAAGCGTTCGTCGCAGCAAATTTCCAGACATAACATTAATTAAGGAAAGCTGACGTTGTGTCGTCACCATGACTCTCCAATATATCCAATTTTTGGAAACAAAACAGCTGTCTGTTGATCGGGAGGAGACCTACCAGGCTAGCTAGAAGCTAGACTATGGTAGAGGGAGCTTTCTTTGATAGCGGGATCCGAGTTGGGTTCATAGTTGCAAGTCGGAGCAAGTGAATACATGTACATGTACGACGCATCTGTAGCTCTAGCTAGCTAGATGATACATACAAGTACATGTAGCCAGCCAAGGCATGCCCCTGGGAGCTGCGTTTCTTTGCATTGAAAGGTTACCGGTACGCTGGCTGGAGGATCCAAACTCGCAGCCTGCCTCAGAGCGTCAAGGATCTGACCACCCTACTACATGTAATCGATGGATCTTCCACCAAACTGTCAAGGAGAGTCGGATATCGTACTACATGTAGCTAGTATTACTCACCGTGAGAGTTTCGCACCATGTTTCAAGAACCCACGCACATCCAGCCGTCCTCTCCTTTCCGATCCTACCGGGGATGGTAACCATTCCAGTTTAGACAAGGCGAAGATACATGCAGCAACCTTGATTCATCATTCTGTGTGCATGCATTGTGTTTCCTATAGCTTGGCTGTTGTTCTGTTAATTAAAATTTTGTTTGAGTGACAGTCCAAGTGTTACTTGCTATTGCTAGTACGGTACTTTGTGTGCTCATTCTAAGGAGGATATAGACACTTCAAATCAAGATCCCTCGGAACATACTTTCAAGCTAGTAGGGATGTTGCCCTTACTATGAGGGCGCAAGCACCGCCTATAGTCAACCCAGTGGAGGTCCAAGTCTTTGAAGTTGACGCACGGCAGGAAACTGCCGAATACCACTGACTCCCGCAATGACTCAACAAAATCTGTATATTGAATCAAACAACATACTAGAGATACGCTGCTCGATCTTCTAACGGACTTGCTCCTCGGATCTATAGATAGATAGTCCATCCATGTAGAGCCAAAACGATCGATGGCCCCTGCATGGCTCTGCAGAATGTGACTCGACTCGACTTGACTCGTACCATGCAGCAACCAACGTCTCCGGCGTCCATGTTTTTCGTTGTTGTTCCTTTTTCAAGGGCCACTCGACTCGGAATCCCCGATTTTGCCCTAGTCCCATGCACTTTCTTGTGTCGGGGGGTCGACGAACGATTGTCGGGTTGGGGATTCTGCCTATTATACCACCGCAATGAATCCCTCGCTTATTCATTTTGGTATTCTTCCCACACACCACTGCATTTATTGTTTCTTGCTTATTTGCGTCGTCGCTTTGGCGTTTTTGGGAGCCAGCTTCCACCACAAGTTCAGTTGTGGATGTCGCTTCTTGGTGACTTCCTGAATGACCAAATCGGTCAAATTTTTGGGATCACGAGACGACCAATTGACGACGTGTTTGGGACCTCGGAATCCTCCGTACTGATAGACGTCATATCCCGCCTCGGCAATGAGTTGTACAGCGGCACGACTGTCGTGAATTTCGGACCTCGTCCGAGCGGAAACTTCCATGAAAATGTTGCGAATGAGATGACTGCTCAGTAGGCGTGTGGCGCCCTGTACGACGTGGAGTTCGTATCCTTCGACGTCGACTTTGAAAAGGGCAATGACAGGGCGATTGGTATTACTACTGGAGATGAACCATCCGCGACTCTCGGCAAAAGCATCCAACGTAATGACGGGCAACGTACTGTTGGAGAGAGTGTGGTCGTTGGGTTGTGCCACGAAATTGCCCGCTCCAGGATTGTACACTTCGTGAAAGACCATTTTTCCCACGTCTTTTCCAATTCCATAAGGATGACAATTGACCGTGGATTGTTGTGATAGTTGTCTTGATTGTCGTCTGATTTCATACTCGTTGGGCAACCAATGATTGATTTGTAAACTCTGACAGATGCGAAAGGCATTGACACGATTGGGTTCAAAGGCATCCACTACAATATTCCCGTGATGGCCCGCGGAAAGGAGTGAAAAGTAGCCAATATTGGCACCGACATCCAAGACACGTACGGTAGTACCGACGGGTTCACTAGACACAGTCTCGTTGAGCACGGCGGAAAATGCCGCCGTGAGTGCCGTCTCGTAGTAATGGCCCCATTTGACAATGGACCATCGAGCCGGGTCGAATTGTTCATTGTGCAAGGCAATGGTGAAGAAGGGATATCCGTCCGTCACACGTGTGAATTGTTTGCCATGATTGGGATCTTGAAACTCTGGAACGTAATCCCGCAGCGGCAGTCGGTAGTGTGGAATATCCCGCAGCCATTCTTGACAGGACAAAGGAGGATATTGGGAAGGAAAATTGGAGTTGGCTTGCTGCTGTACTGCTTGTACTTGCAGCAACGGCCGAGGATTCGTCTCATCGTCAATGATTCCCGCAGAGACCAGCAGAAAGACTACCAAAACCGATAGAAACACACAGGCCACAGAAACTTGAATGGCATGTTCCCGATACCACGGTCTTCGACTCAGCTGCTGTCGCGTTATCTTCATTCCAACAATACAACTTTGTATATAGACACTGCTTATTGCAATTTGACTGTTTTGTGTATTATAGTTTTAACTCTTGCTTCTGCAGCCTAAATTTTGAAATTAATGAGAAACAAATGACTTCGTCAAGCAACAGGATCCATCTTTGGCGACGATGAGGATCCTGGATTTCGGATGCAATATTTCGAAAACTGCTCTTCAGATATAAGGTTAAAGGATAATACTTACACAAGAAAAGCGTGGTCCGCAAACGTGGAACTTCAACAGAGTCGCAGGTACGTACAAGTATGGTATATCTAGTCTACCGTAACCACCACCAATGCCGTAGCTCTGCCTAGCTTACCCCCCCCGCCGCTCCTTATCTCATCTATTTTGTATTTATTATCATTGTCCTCTAGTACCGGTACTGTACAGTGCGGAGCGCTCATATTTCTGCCCAGCTGGCAGCCATTTAGTTGGAGTGTACTACCATTCATGCAGCCAAGGATGGTCCAACAAGTAGCTATAGTAAGTAGGCTCTCTGCTTAAAACACAATTGAATGGTACGATTGATTGAAGATTCGTTTCTCTGACCAGCTGCTCAGTCCTTTGCTGCACTCTATAAAACCCCACTTTTAAGGTGTGAAAACAAATACCGGTACTAAATAGATGCGTTAATAAGGAGCGAGGGGGTCGGTTCCGTATGGACCGGGACCTGTACTTATCCTCGGCGTTCGAGTGGTTTGAAGTCTAGCGTGGTTGTCCAACGTGGATACGACAGGCGAATGCCTCGCACTTCCGTGTGTCAGTCGGGGATAAAGATCCGGGCATCAGAACAGATCGCCACACAAGATTCGATTCGATCTGGTCCGCATTTTTGCCTTGGGAGTAATAGTGTGATCAAGGCCTTGCTGCATGATCAAAAACAGATTGCTTGGAAAGGCAGCCCAAATAATATAGGTACGGTACAAGCGACGACAATGGCTCCAGCTAGCAGCCTTCATGACCGAGATTATTCTCATCAGATGGAAGGAGGAATCTCTGGTGGTGTAAGTGCCGAAAGTGCCGTTGGCAGCATTGGCTGTCACTCTCCCGTGGGAAACTCGACGGGCGCTTTTGAGGACCGACCAAGAGCCCAACCATCCCCTCGAGACGAAGACAATCCAACTGTATCAGCCTGCCATGGGATATTACCCAGTTGGTCTCGTTCCGTGACCACAGCCGTGGCTGTCACCACGTTTGTGCTCTTAGCTAATATCCTCCTCCTCAGCGCTACCAGAACGACCACCCTGAACAACACATCATCCGTCCTCGAGAAATCCCACAAACGATACCTCAAGGCCCAAGAGGGTCGGAGGTTGTTTCCCTCCAATGGAAATGGATATTGGCAACTGAATTTGGCAGTTGGCCGGGTTGAAAAACTGATACCCATTCGTCGGCCCAAAAAGGACAAGACGGAACAACAACCAGCAACCAACGGCAAGAGGAAGAAAGATCCACTTCTACTAGAAACCACGGGCAATAACAACAACAACAATAAACAGTCTTCCGGCCGTTGCAATATCCATACCACTTGTCGCAGTTGTGTCAACAGCGCTGGCACCAGCTGTGTCTTTGTGGCGGGGGAATGCTTCTCGGATTGTTCCCAGGGAGACGACACTGGCGCTTCTTGCTACTATGCCGCATTGGATCCTGATGAAGGAAATGGCAATGTCGTTTGTGACCGCTACGATGCCGACAATGCGGCTTGTACCAGCCAGAACAACTGTCCCGACTGTATCCACAAGCTCAAAAGCGACAAGACTCCCTGTCAGTGGTATCCAGAGGCATTTGGTGGCGTGGGCGCCTGTTTTGGAGGAGGCACGGGGCCTTTTGGAACCGGACAGATCACTTGTGGTGACAACAGCGAGGACAATCCTACTAGTACAGAAGCACCCAGTCAGACACTACCCATGGAGGATACTACCGGTACTTCCAATTGCACGGTAGCCACGGAAATCCTTCGAGATGAATTGTGTGGGCTCTTTTGTGACTGTTCCGAAACCTGTCCTGCCACGGACAACAACATTGTGTTGATCCCGACAGCCACTGCCATGGAGGCTCTACTCTCTTTCGACTTGGAAATTGCCACGGAAAATGGAGCGTGTCAAGTCGTCGAATATCTGGGAGATGACCAAACTACATCGCCGGATTCGCTACCAATCGCCACCACCACCAAGCAAATGTCAATGTCGTCGCAAGTGGGAGTTGTCATTGCCAATTTTGAAATGACATGTGAGGCAGACTACGAGTGGACCTATTCCTTTTTCAATGGTGCTGGAACCATGGCGTGGATCGTCCGGGATGGGTTTGTAACGACAACGTGGCAACAACAACTGGAGAATGAATTGGAGCCGTCACTGAGCATTTCGCAATGCGATGCGTCGGTCACGGTCTCCGATTTGGAGTTGTCGGGCTCGGTGGCGGATTCTATTCTGAACACGTTCGAACGTTTAGTGAGCGACATGATGGAGAATCTAGTCAGCGAAGCACTCTGCACAGAAATCGCAAGCATCGCCGGCAACATCGATTCGTTGCCGTGCGATCACAATGCCACGGAAGAAGCGCTAGAGAGTCCGATGCTTGACGAGGCATTTGGAAACAACACCTACAATTCATCTATCGACAACCAGCATTGATTCAAAAAGATTTGAACGTCTAAACAAGCAAAAGTATATCGTATCCGTGTGGCATGTTGGCTCCTTGATCAGCCAACCAGTACCCGAGAGGAGGAGGGTTCCGCCACGATGTTGCCGTCGTTCAAGCTGTCTGCCCAGCATTGTTGTTGTACAAGCAGTCGATCTCCCTCGCTACTTCTACTAAGAGGACGTTGTGGCGTCGTGACGGGTGCGGGTTGATTCACTTTTTCCTTGAGCAACGCGAAAAGTATAGCCTCTGATCTGTCGTATCAGGACCAACTCTAATTCCGATGGAGACGGATCCCCACGAAAACTTAAAGACAGACCAACCCAAGGAGGCCAGCGAAAGGAAAAGGGAGCCAAAGGTCAATGACTAGTGATGCAGATCTAGATTGCCGAGGGAAAAATTGTAGAAGCAGCAACACACGGGAACCGTCGAGGACCATCAATGTTCTAAAGGGTAAGGGGAAGGAAGGCATTGGCAATTTTACCGCTTCTGGACCTTCCCAAATCAAGGTTGCTGCATTTCTGACTTGACACGTTCAATCCATTCCAAGCACTCCTTGGTGTCACAATGATCTGCTCCCAATGCTGGCTCCCGAATGGCACGGCATGCCCGAAATCTCAACAAGGCTCCAGAAGAGTCACCCATCTTATATAAAACAACACCAATATTGTTGTAGGTAAAAGACACATCAGGATGGTTCTTGCCCAATGCTGACAACCTAATGGCCAGAGATTCCTCATATTTTGCCAAAGCACCTTCATAGTCACTTATCTCATACAAAACAGAGCCAATGTTATTGTGGGTGGTTGCCACATCAGGATGATTCCTGCCCAATACAGACAACTCAATAGCAAGACATTCCTTGTACTTTGCCAAAGCTCCTTCATAATTACCCATCTCATCCAAAACAAAACCAATATTGTTGTAGGTACTTGCCACATAAGGATGATTCTTGCCCAATGCTGACAATTGAATGGCAAGAGCTTCCTTCTGCTTTGCCAGAGCACCTTCATGGTCACCCATCTCAGCCAAAATAAGACCGATATTGTTGTGGGTGGTTGCCACATTCTCATGTTCCTCGCCCAATACTAACTTTTTTATGGCAAGACTTTGGTTGTATTTGGCCAAAGCACCTTCTTTGTCACCCATATCATCGAGTACAAACCCAATGTTGTTGTAGGCAGAGGCGACATCAGAATGATTCTCGCCAAACACTGACAATATAAGGGCAAGCGCTTCCTCGTACTTCGACAAGGCACCTTCATAGTTACCCATATCATGCAATACCTCTCCAATGTTGCTATAAGTTTCTGCTGTTTTTTCATGGTTCTTGCCCAACACAGCCTCACAAATTGTCAGAGCAGTTTGGTGGAGTTTCATGGCTGCACTGTGTTCCCCCTTTGTCCTTAAGATAACCCCAATTTGGTTGCAAAAATTCACATAGCCCACATTATTTGTGTTTTCCCTGGTTTCCACCAGCTGAGTCAGGACGCCTTGCATCCAACCACGCAACAAGTCATTGACTAGATTGTTGAGCACAGAGTATCCAACGTCCGATTGTACTTGACCAAGAATAGACAGCCTGTCACTTTCGACTGATGCATTGGCATTTTCAACTTTTGTGTTGCCAAGTGTCTCGTAGAGAGCATTGATGCCTCTATCGTTATCAACAACATCCTGCTCTAGTGATTGTTTCTCCTTGGGTGGCATGACAATATCCACTTTGCAACCACCCATCCTGTGAGCCGTAAAGATTTCAAATATACACCAAACTCGAGTGATGTAGATGGGTGCTTTCCATGGAGCCATCATGGCCAGCAAATGACCAATCTTTTTGACTCGTTCTCCAAAGATGGCAAAGAAGTCCACCTTGGTAGATGCTATCATTCCTGATTTGTGCTGAGCGGAGTTTTCTACTACCCGGTGTTGATTCACACATAGACAGCACATCCAGATATACGTTCTCTTGGGATCAAGCTGATTTTGTTGGCAGAAGTCATTCAGAGTATCCACAATATCCCCAATCGAATAATTCCAAGAATAACTGAGCATATGAGTTGCCTCTCCCACATGGTCATCTCCTTCCAGACAATGGACATACGCAGCACCCATTTTTCCATCGATTGGACAAACGATGCTGGCTCCCTTGGTTCGAATGACCCCGGGAGGACCGCGTAGATCCTCAATGTCATAGACTTTGGAGTCTTTAGAGAGCGGATTTCCAGTTGCGGCATGACTGGCAGCACATACTTCTTCTTCCGCAAAGACTTGTTCCAAATGGAAGACACTGACGCCAAGAGTTTCCATCATTGTTTATTACGAATTTGAGGATATATCGATCGATGTTGTGTTTCTGACGCTAGTCTCCACTCGATGTAGTATCAATGCTGCAGAACCACGTATGCGAAGGCAGCAAAGGGTTGACGTGGTTGACGATTGATCTGCATATATAGAGAGTGTTTACTATGCATATCGAGCCTCGAGCCCTGCCACGACCACGACACATGCAGCAACAAACAAACAAACAAAGTTCCCTATACTAATAATAATTTATGATACTAGTAATAGATACGTTAAGGAGCGAGGGGGGCGAAGCGCGGCAAAGCAGTGGCTGCGGTGGTGGGTGGCGGTTGTGGTGGGCGTACGGGGAGAGCAATGAGGAGATGGAGAGAAAAAAGAATGCTAAATAGATACATTA